GTTTGCAGATGATGTCAAAATTTGGCATGACATCCGGACAGAGGACGATCACACAACACTGCAGAGCGATCTGGACAGGGCGTACACTTGGTCATCCGAAAACATGCTCCACTTCAATGTCGCCAAGTGCAAAGTCGTGAGCTTACACCACCAGCTCATCCATGAATACTTACTCGGGGACCAGCCGTTGCAACATGCTTCCCAGGAATGCGACCTCGGAGTGATCGTGCAGGACGACATTGGCTGCTCCAGACAAGCTGAAAAGGCATCGAAAAGGACCAGTCAACATCTCGGACTCTTACGGAGGGCTTTCGGAAATTTCGAGCCATCTGTATTTCCGCAAATGCTGAGCGCTTACGTGAGACCCCACGTGGAGTATGCGATCCAGGCCTGGCGTCCCTGGCGCAAGCGCGACATCAGTGCACTTGAAGCTCCACAGCGTAGAGCAACGAAGCTCGTCAGAGGCCTGTTTCACATCCCCTACCAACGCAGACTGCAGTCTCTGGGATTGTACAGTGGTGAATATCGTCGTCACCGAGGAGACCTCATCATGGTCTACTTAATACTGATGAATCCAAATCACCCATGTCGCAGTCTCTTGCAGCTGAGCCAAAATACTAACCTGAGAGGTCATCAGCTCAAACTGGCTACACACTACAGCCGACTTGATTGTCGACGAAACTCTTTCTCACTCCGTGTGTCCCGTGCTTGGAATGCGCTCCCCACTCACGTCGTCCTTGCCCCCACATTGGCACTATTTAAAAAACGCCTAGATGACACACTTTCCAACTTGCATTATTTGGCATAGCACGTCCTATTCGGAGGACGAAATAACGAGACCCAAACCATGAGGTTACTGGCCCTCGCCGCAAAGTGGCGGTGATGTTACATACAGAAGTGTCCCAATGAGCGACATGGATGTATACAAACTGGAGAAACGTACCACATCTCTCAACGGAAGCAACACATGAGTGAGCGTTATCCGTTCCTTTGATTTCTTTTTCCCACATTTGCTGTAATATAACAGCTCTACTTTGGGTGCAGACATCCAGTCCATACTTCAAACTATCATTATGAAGTGGTGCGTTGAAATCTGTAGAGGCTTAAAAAACGATTTACTTGTTCGATTATCCTTCCATTTTATCTATTGCTTCAACCACCCTACGGGACCTGTCAAGCATATGCTTTTTTACCCGTTATAAATCATTGTTCATTGTTCATTGAACCAATATTTTCTAAACTGGCATAGGCTGCCGAAATCTTGGGAGAGATACATACACATAAGTTCAGCTTGCAAGGAAATATGACACAAAATTTAACGGATCAGAATAAGGTATCAAGTTTTCCTCAAAAACTGCAGCTGCTACAACGCAGATGGTCATGAAAATATTTAGATGTTCCCAAAACTAAAAATGGCGCTCGTTGAAGCAATCAAAAATTGCACATTCATATACCCAAGCAACTTCCACATGTCATCAAGTGGTTCCACTTGGTTCAGAACAGGTAACAGACCATCTGTGCTGGATCTTGTACTTACCAACGAGGAGCATATGATTGATGTATTGGTTGTAGACTGCCCATTGGGTCGCAGTGATTACGCAGTGATCAGTTTCAACTTCGTTTGCTATGCGGAATATCGGAATGAGAACGATGAGACCGTGCGAACCATCACAAGCTACGATCGATTAACCCAGCTCGTCAGCGCCACAACTTGATCATTCCTTGCCGAATAACTCCCAGAAGGCGCCTGAGCCTAGTTCGTCAACAAATTCAGTCAACTGATTGCAGCGGCTTCAGAGATAAGAGTTTGCAATAAGTGTAAATCGGTTTCTTTCGTTAGGAGTAGAACTCGAAAATGGATGACAGTACGCAAAGTAGCATGGCGAGTGTACAGAGAAGCTCCAGAACCAGGCACATATGTAGTCCGACGTAACAACTGCATTGAACTGCTAAGAGAAGAAAAAGCAGCATATCAGCAGAACATCGCGAAAACCCTCAGTGCTAACCATAAACTGCTGTATAAGCATGTCAAGAGCCTACAAAAGGTGAGACAAGGATTTACTCCACACAGCATGGCCAAGATCCCAACAACAATGGCTGTGCAAGCAGCAAATGCACTGCGAATGCAGTAAGCCCCCACGTTTCAGAGGGTCTTGCTACCAAGCAAACTTCCAACTTTGTTCTCTATGCGCCAGGCCTAAACCACATCACTTTTACCGCGGAGGCTGTATTGCAAAAGCTGACGTCGCTACGCAAACACAGCTCGCCGGGAGTCGATACCATACGTCCAGAGGCACCGGGAGCAGCAGCGAGCCAACTGGTAGGATCTTTAGCTCAGTTTTTCCACCGCTGCTTAGATCAGAATCAAGTTCCCACTAGGTGGAAGCTTGGAGTAATAACCCTGATTCACAAAGGGGGAAGCAGAACTGAGCCCTCCAACTACCGCCCAGTATCCCTTCTTCCTATATTCTCCAACGTCATGGGATCCATAGTCGCCGATGCATTGGTGTTATCTGGAAAAACCTAACATCATCACGCCGGAGCAACACGGCTTCCGTCGACAGCGGTCATGCACAACGAATTTACTAATCGCACGCAGCAGTTGGACCGAGTCAGCTGACGCTGGAGAAGGCGTTGATGTGATGTACCTGGATTTTTCGAAAGCTTTCGATCGTCTAAACCATCAGATGCTACCCTCCAATTTCAAGCATTACAGAATCGGTGACCCATTTTAACCTGGATTGCTAACTTCCTACTACAACGTCGAGTAGTGGTCAGAGTTCGGAGCTCTTTATCGAACCCCATACAAGTCGAGCGTGGTGTGCCACAATGCTCAGTTCTAGGTCCACATTTGTCTTGGTGTTTATTAATGAGCTTGCACAGGGAATCTCTTCAAACTTCCTAATGATTGCCGACGATATCAAGATTTGGCGCGGATCCAGGCGGACGCCGACCAGCATTTGCTTCAGAGTGACCTAGATACGGTATATCAATGGTCAACCCAATAGTTACTGCATTTCAGCGTCAGCAAATGCAAGGTACTTTCCATCCGACATCAGAGTACCTACTCATACCGGCTCGGAACGAAGCAATTGCAACAATCATCTGTTGAGCCTGGCTTTGGTGTCCTGGTTCAAGATGACTTGGTTTGCTCCAACCAATTCGAAAAGGCTTTGAAAACTGGAAACCAACACGTTGAGCTGTTGTGGCGACCAATGGGACAAATAAACATCTCTATATTTCGACAAATGCTCAGTGCGTATGTTCGCCCCCATGTCGAATACGCAATTCAAGCATGGCATCCATGGCTGAAACACGACGTTAATGCACTGGAGCAGCCACAACGTCGGACATCTAAGAACGGAATTGGAACGAGCCATCTTTCATACCAGGAGAGGCTGCAAAGAATGGGGGTATTCAGCGGAAGCTAGCGCACACTACGAGGCGGGCTGGTTATGGCATACTTGATTCTGCAACACCCACATCATGTGGGCCGCTCATTATTTCAACTGATCACCAATACAAACCTGTGGGACCACTCATTGAAACTCGCATAACAGTATAGCCGCCTGGAGTATCGCAGAAATTTCTTTTCCATTCGTGCCTGTCAACGGTGGAATGCTCTCCCAGAATCGGTTGTCTCTGCACCGACATTAAGAGTATTTAAAAGACGGTTGGATGACGCACCCAACCACTTACACTGTCACATAGCGCTGCGTCTCCATCCAACATCTGGAGTTTACCATGGATTTGTTTGATGTTAACTGCGAGTGCTGTGAACCTAAGCGGATTGCAGGACAACAGCGGAGTAAACGAGAAGTCCTTATTTTCATCTTTGAAGTACTATCTCTTTTACTAATAATATTATCATTATTACTATTTTTTGTTAGTCCCACCAAGTATCCAACGGGACAAGTAAAGCAACGCTTCTTAACCCGTATGAACTCATTGTTCATTTTTTATTGTTTCTTCCTTCGATCCTCCCCCCCCCCCCGGATCTACACAGGCTGCAACCCGCGGGAGCAGGAGAGATCCATGCCATATAGACTCGATCATATCTAGTCTATGGCAGACAGCGATCATACCCCCGGGAAACCACTGTACGAGCTTTTCATTCTTTCGGGAATCTTCAGCGTTGCACATTTCGTCTGACCCTTTTGTGGCTCCAACCTGCCATCTGACTGTTGCCAGTCTGGGTGAAGACAGTTGGGCTACGGAGGACAGTAAGTACCGGTGTAAGGTAGATGTAATATAGCGCCGCTCACTATCCAGTGTCTTGCCGCTTCAGGGTAGCCTTCTTACCAAGCGACGAACGTAATAAACCTAAGCCGCAAATTAACTTAAGCTGGTTTGCGTACTGACTACACGGGAGGAGTAGGGGGTTTGAATGGTATAATTAGTTATTCATCTTGATTCACATGTCCTATGTGTTAATTTTACTGAGCCATTCGCTGCATGTAGCTAATTTCCACTATACGAATAACTGACTGTCTAGCTTTATCCGCAATCGGTACGTTATCAAGGGTAATTGGTCTTTGTTGTAAACGCCACTTTGTCACCCGTGGCTATTGACCCGGTTGGCCCAGTTCGCTGAGAGTGCTGTTAACCGGTCTGCTCCCCGACTGACCGATGGGATGGCCAACGGTTAGCATGGCAACTAAGTCAACACAGCCGACGCTGGCACTTCGGTTATGTGGATGCACCACAATCGATTTGTGTGAACCTAGCGATTGGCATCAGTTGGCCAGCGCAGCTGCTCTCCCTGTGCACCGGGGCGAACCCCTGGCCCTATTAGGCAGCACACATCACCTCGTGCATTTGGTGGCGCACCACTTGTACGTACGTGTGTATCGATGCTCGTACTTGTGTGCTTGTAACGGTGAAGTCCGTCATTTCTTCGATCGATAGCTAGCAGTATGTGTGTGTAACTGTTCGTCTCTCTACCTTGCCGCCTGTCCGTCGTGGCAATTGTCTCCAGGTCTTCTGTCCACCATACCGGTAATCAGGTGTCAACATCCAATGGAGGCACCGAACTAACGACGTTCACAGGAATACAATAATTTTTGGCCGCTACCAGGCAACAAACTCAGCACATGAGTTGAGTTATATGCCATAAATTTGCCAATCGATTATCAGGTTGCGCAGTATGCTTTACGGTGGCCCACTCGGGACTTACTTGAGTGGAATTTCATCTGCCTCAACCGTTACCCAAGGGCCATCCTCCTCAACGGGATACCTATCAAACCCGTATACTCCCCCCAACTATTTGGGTACTAGCTTGCGACGGAACACTTCAAGATATCGGTCTAACACATCAATCGGATCCGGTTTGCCAACAACCAGCCAAGCAGTCACGTCAAACGGAACAAGTTCAACTAGTCCTTCCCTATCGTCATACTACACGCCCCAAGTGCGAAGGAAGTATGCAACCTCGGAGGTAAGTGATACAGTGATTCGTTGATTGTTTGGGTTGAATAAGTCTTTGAAATGTACCTTTTTATTGCAATGTCCCTCAATTACGCTTTCCTGTGGAGTGAACGAACCAGACATTCAATATTGATTGTTGTACAAGTGCTTCTGTTAGGTAAGGCACATGGACATATTCCGGTTGCGGGTAAAATTATTACTTCGAGTCCCAACACCAAAATGCACCTTTGTCACTTACAGTTGAGCTGAGTTTCGCTGATCAAGCCTCGGGAGCTGCGAGAGTGTATCGGGTTCAATTCTAGGCTATTCTGAGCTGCATGGAAAACGGGTAAAGGACGGCGTCTGTCTGTCTATCTGGGTTCAACTTGAATTGGAGTACGTTGTTGTGCGGCAACAGCGCAGTTAGCGGATGCAAGTGAAAAAATCTTTGGTTTGGACTTGTAGTCTAAGGTACTGCTCACGCATATTTTGGGTACTCTTGCACCATATAGTAATGCGGAATGGCACACACGCGTCTTGTATACAGTCCACGCTTGTGTACCGATAATATATTCACCATGGTACGTATACGTTTGATGCAGCCAGAGGCCAGCTTAACCAGCACCTGTTGTAGTACTCACGCTCGTGCTGACTTGGATAGTCGCAGAGCTTTTGGTGTGTGATACATGTCATCGAGTTTCATAGAGTGCATCGGTTGGATGCAGTCGAAATTTTTGGTCTTGGTTGCTGGTTTATCTGTATCTAGCTGCTGCGACCCAGTACTCTTGTGATTAAAATAGAAGTGCTATAGTGACTCGTGCTCTGCTCTTTTCACTCCTATGGTGGCCAATGAAGCAATGATTTGGATGAAAATTTTTGCTATGCTGATGGTGACCCACGAGGACTTGTGTGGTGTATATCCTTTCATGGGGTTATTTGGCCTACAACGAAGCACCATGTCTTAGTAAAAAGCCATGGTTACTTATTCTCATGGCATAAGAAGATTTATGTGCATGACACAAAGTTGATAAGATGTCGACCCATGCAAATCACCGCACTAATTTCAATGTCCTCATGTCCGTCCTAGAATCTTAGAGCGGTTCCATGCATCCAGTGTGGAACAGGCTGTGGTCAAGCCACCGCCTTGTGTACGTCTGGTACGCATGATTCCCACATTAGATAGACAAGAATGTTGCCGCTGTGCATGTTGAAAGAGTGTGGGCCGGCTTTGTTGATGAACCGTGACTCGCATCCACATGCCTCCAAGTCCTATTCCTTCGGATTTACACTGGATATGGGGTGTGTGTGGCTGGAGCTGTGAGTGGTCCAGCGCACTTCACCCATGGTCTCTCTGTGGGTGCAGTTGTCTTGTGGCCGTCCTATAGAGGCAGCAGTGACAGACACATCCGGACCCGGATACCACCAGCCATATTTTTTCAACAATTTTCATCAGACTAATACATACCTAAAATTGGTTACAGCATTGCGATACGCTAAGAAAGTAGGGCTAGGGCGAGTCAAGTATAAATAGACCGCATTGTTCGTCCAAAGAAGCATCTATCGTAAGTCAATTTGGATAGACCAATACACAAATTTTCGAGCTGTGTACGCATTGACGTACAAAAGAAACTTAGTTCGTTACATGTATTGGTGTACCAAAAAATTTTTTGTCTAGAAACTTAAGAAAGCGAAAAGGATTGCATCCTTAGGACACTACATTATAACGGTTACTCAGGTCCTTTCATTCGGAGGTACTCTGTGGTCCGCGACTGACGAGAAACAACCCTTTCAAAGGAGAGGTCCCCCTTCGATTTACTGAACAGGTGACTCCCAAATTCAGTAGCCTACCCGGAAGATATTGCAGAAACTGTCCCGTTTATTACCCAGCGTCTTATGGATAGACTCTCGGTCCAGTCCGAATCGTTTATCCTATATTCATTTACTTGCACCTGTGGCGTAAGTTACTTCGGACACACGACCATGCGCTTGGCGAAACGAATAGCAGAACATTGCTCAGTAGGATTGTGGAAACGCACACAGTTAAAGTATCAACAACCATAATTTGGAACATTTGGTCTGAAGCGGGCATCAAGTTGTGACCAAGGAAGCCTTCAAAATTTCCTATGTCATCCTAAAACGCTACCCAAAAGGACTTAGAAAACGACTACTAATGACGACCGAAGTTATTGTGATAAGACTAATGTGCCCTGAACTGTGAAAGCAGAGGACATTAGTGCAGGCGCTTGCTATGGCTGTGATTTCGCTGTGGATACCGTTCACCTGGATCACCTACGGTGAATCAGTTGTCCCCGTCACTCCATCGGACCGACGAACCACTGCATTGTGTGCATTTGTGTGTATGCACTTGTACATAGCTATCCTCATCGATTGCAGGGTTCGGTCAACGAACAGTACAGTCTGTTTATAAATGACCAGCCCTAGTCTAGATTTCCCAGCCTATTACAATCTATTAGCTAGTTTTATACATTAGCCTGATGTGAATCGTTGAAACTAATTTCCTCGCTGAATCTAATGCTTATACTTTTATGGGCATACTACAAATGTGGCATCTTTGTCAACTTAGAGCTCGACTGAGAGGGATATTCCAGCAAAAAATGATTTGACGGTAAGCGGCAATTTTGCATAAATCTGGTGGGCATTTTGGAACCTTCTGTCTTCTGCCGTTCCAGCATCCCATTGTGACAAACGTTAGGTCAATAGTTACCTGGGTTATCATTGAACCTCAAATCCATGTATCCACCTAGAACTGATAAATTCTGCGGCATAATGGGCGAAGTTCGTGACAGCTATGGCCCTGGTGTTGGCTGTTTCCACACTTATTATTTCCGTTGGATGTGGACGCATGAGCGGATCAGTGTGAATTAAAATGGAACACTTGTTTTGGCTGTGAAACTCCCGTATCCGATCATTCCAGAGGTATATCTGAATATGTCCTTTAATTTCTAACTTAACTCGTAGATCGGACACTGTGCTCCAGTGAGCCAAATTTTGCATTGCCGAAAATCTCCCGGTGGAATGAAACCGATTATTTCCTTGAGTGGGGATAACCTTGGACGTATCAGTCGTTCTCACTAACGAACGAAATGAGGAGGCTTAGAAATACACTAACCTATCGCTTTTTAAAAGTTGGAAAAACCCACTACCATTGTCTATCAGTGGCATATGTAAGGCGTGGAGGAGGATCTGTTACGTAAATTGCCTGAACGTAGCGCGACCAGAAACTTTGTTCACTCGAGTTGACCACATAGTGGCAGCGATGTCGAATTGTCCGTTAGATATGCCATACCAAGATCTCCTTTAACTATGTCAGGGCTCATCTTATCTGTGTTGCTTCACTGCTTTATTTGATCAGAATAAACTCAACTATTTTTAATGTTGGACGTTGCCAGCTTACAACATGGCACTCCGCTACCAGTTTCAAATTTTTTCACAAGAGTCAAATCGAGATGACTGGGTTGCTACTCGGTCCCACGACGCAGTGGCTAGCGTGTTCTGCGGTTCTGCACACGTTACTTGCGATACACTCGGGGAAATTCTCTTCCATTGCCACTCTGGATTTCTAAATTTTGATAATATTATACCACCTTTATCTCACATGACTTACATAGTTTCCCCTGAGCAATTTTACCCTGAGAACCTGGCTTCTGAGCTTTAGTTTGTGGAATTCAGTGTTTGCTACCGGTGCAGACTACGTGAATCTTTTCATCAGAGGTGGGAAAATAAAAGTTTGCTTGACTGCTTTAAGCCGCTACGCATGATTAAATACATTCTGCACGCTCTCCATGGCACTGTATGCAAGTTTCGGTTGTTTAAATCCGGCTCTATCTTGAACTATCTTACGTCATTCAGGTTGCCCGATTATGCTTTACCGTGACCATCACACACCTAGTCTATGATCAACGTATATCATTCCTACCAGACGTACAATCTCGTCAGGTTTGTCAACGCTACGGTGATATGTCTTTGTACTGGTTGATATGCCACATTTTAAGCGGGAGCACAAATAGCGATCCCAGAAGGCAGACAGTTTCATGGAAACTTTTATTTGTACAGCAAAAGGTTCCCCGTTTGCCTAGCTGTAAAAAATGTCACTGTTGATACTGCTCGCTGGGGGGCGAAAAAGTGCAACAGGCAAGAGCGATCGCGCATTGCGATCGAAACGAGCACCAAGCAGAAGCTGGGCCCGGTTCAAGCAATCGAACTCAACATGCCGTTCAATAATCTGCACCGATCGCATACTTGTACAATGAAATACTCATTTTAGCTGGCATTTTACATAGATAAACCGGAGAAATCTCTAGATTGTTACGCAGACGATTCTACATCGCTTCAGCCGTGCTGCACCTGTACCATTGAGGTGTGCTATTGTGTGCCTGATAGAGGTTCCCGCATTGTGTGTCAGGTTTGGGTGCACACAGCGCGTATAGTGCTAAAATATCAGCATATCCGATACCACCATTTTGAGTGCTGGTTCAAGAGGATTGCTATTTGTTCCTGTATGAGACTGGTGCGCAATCCTACAACATGGAGTAGAGTATAGACCGACCACCACTTGGAATCTTAAGCACTAATCCTGTCTGCCCGAATACTGATGAAATGGGTGTATTCCATCCACTTGTGTTTACATCTTCAGCCGGTGAGCATTACAACGATGCTGCTCAAAATAGCAGCATGTGTCTTCGTGGACTGCAAGACGCACAAGTAGGTTCCACTTTCACTGCTCCTTGCTTTTCCTCGCTTCGAAATTTTCATGGATGTGGCGTGGTAGCGATGCGGCAAGGCCACTCGTGGTCTCGTTCAAGATATAAACAACGTACGGCTGTTTGTGGTCTCAGTTCTACACAGCTCTGGTAATGAATGCCATCAAAAATTGGCAACAAATCTTACACTGATCTTACTTTAATCTGAGACATTACCCAACAGACTGTCTCGAAATCCAACTAGTAAACTCCACTTAAATCACAGTACCTGGGTTATAACCCTCCATTCTCTGGGAATTAAACCAAAAGC